GTACTCGTCATTGATGTTAATACCTTATCCTTTCCGGTCCAGTAGCTTGAAAACGTCTTTCAATGGAGCGGTGAAGAGTTTCGGGGATATAACGTCACCCTGTCTTACACCTCTCTGCAGTTGGATAGGTTTCGAACTCTGGTACTGTACTCGGATAGCTATCGTAGCCCTACTATACAAACACTTCAGCACTTCGATATACCGACAGTCAACTTGACACCGCTGAAGAGACTGTAGAACCGCCCAAATTTCGACGGAATCAAAGGCTTTCTCATAGTCCACATACACCAGGAAAAATGGCAGATTGTACTTTTCAGTCTTCTGTACAATTTGCCGCAGGGTATGTATGTAGTCAATGGTACTGAAGCCTTTTCGGAAACGGGCTTGTTCGGGAGGCTGGAAGTCGTCGAGTCTGCGTGCGAAACGATTCGTTATGACTCTCGAAAACAGCACGTAGACGCGGCTCAGAATGGATATGGGTCTGTAGTTCTTCAAGAGAATGTTGTCACCTTTCTTGAAGAACAAGACCACCGCCCTTTTGCTTCATGCCTCGGGAGTAGTGCCACCATGGAGGACGGAATTAAAGAGCGTCTGAAGAACTTCAAGTACTGATTTTCATACGCTTCCAGAAGCTCCGCTGTAATTCCATCTTCGCCCGGGGACATGCCGTTTTTAAGACGCTAGAGAGCCATTCTAATCTCGCTCAGACTAACGTCCGGGATATCATCGGCATAGTGTCGGATAAGTCTTGCTCTTGCATTGTTACTCACGTTTGCGTGTGGTTTTAATGATGACCTATTCAGCTGCCCATATAACCTCTCAATCTCTGCTACACTCGATCTTCAGCATCGACAGTTGGTTCTTTCTGGCAGACAGATTTCTGAAAAAGAATTTGGAGCCCTCAAACGGTTTTTGTTTGGTTTGGTAACGCTCAAAGTTTCTTCAAAAGAGCTTATTGAAGTTGCGTAAGTGCTGCCGCATATATTTGGAGACTCTCTGTTTAGTTGCCTGTATGCTGTTAAATCTGCTGAAGACTGCAGCTTCATTTCTCGTCTAAAAGTCATGAGATTAGGAGTGTGATCGGAGAGTTTTTGTGTTCATCAGCGGCGGGTCTTGTAGAATTTAGCTTCGACCGCATATCAGCATATTCTAAAGAATTTTTGGACAAACATGTCGGATTAGGATCTAAGAATATAGATTTTTTGCCGCTAAATGAATAAAATCTAATTCTGATTCTGACAGGGAAAAAAACTTTCAATTCCCATTCTGAAAGGAGTTTTGGCGGGAACTTGGCCGACGACGGACTGTCGCTCCTGTTTTATGGCTTGAATAATGGTTTGAAGTGAATTTTAATTCTTAAAAGTGATGTGATTTTGTTAATTAATTGTCTGCGCGTGTGAACTATTAGAGAAAACGACGAAACAAGTGCTTTGTAGTCGATATAAACCTCAAGTTATTTTGATCGCTTAGGCGCCTCATGAACTTGAGTGGCTGTCGTCATCAACTGTCCACTGGGTTGAGCTGTAGTCAAAATCTCCCAAGGGCTTCGCAATGTGACGCATCAGCACATTGTGAAGAAAAGAAAAAAAAGCGCGGGAACCTTGAAACTGGACTGATAAATCTAGATGGATTGAAACTTTTAAAGACTATAACATAAAGACTTGACTTTAGCCTTTGTGGTATTTGAAAATATAATGGATTAAAGAAAATAAGACTTGGATTCGCCCTTTATGGATTTTGAAGAGATGGAAAGAAGAAAAATAAGACGGCCTATACACTTCAAATTTTATATATTTAAACTAAAAAAACAAACAAGGCTGTATGGCTTAGTTCCTTTGCCTGCTCCCTCGAGCGAATAATAAAAACAACAACAACAACCATTCCGTAGACAGAGAAACCTAAACCAGATTCTGTGTTCTGAGGTTCTGAGCTCTGAGTTCTGACAGTGACATTATTCATTATTTTCGAAATTTTAAAAGAAGAAGAAGTAATTCAAAATTTGTTTCTATTGCATATTTGCCAATTTTGTTTTATACGAAGGAATAAGCAAAAGTTTTCTACTTTTAATGTGAGTTTTGAAGTTTGAAAAATGCTCTTTTGTTATGTTACGGTGTTGTTATCATTACACATTGATGGGACATTATTCAGAGGAACGTAAACAAAGCGACAAATTAGCATAAAAACTGTTAAAATCTGCACATGTGCTACTTAGTACACTCAGTATTGACTGTTAGCGCCTCTTGCTATTTACACTGCCTACATTCTACATCTGGCTAAGCTTTCCATTGACGTCCGTCGAGTTGGGGGTTGATATTTTTTTTTACAGAAAGATTACATTAATACATGCGGAAAAGCGTACTTTTTGAGAAAAAAATTATTGAAAATCAATTATTTTTGCAATATTTATGTCGTATTGAACGTTCGTTTTCCGTGCGGTTAAGTTGTCATACGTTCGGTAGCATTTTATTGTACATTTTACGTCAATAATTATATTTTGTACTCATTTAAATAGTTTTCATGCATACACATATATTTAACAGTTCATATTTAAATTACAGAATTATTATCATTATGAGCTATTAAAATTAAAATGTGTAGTGTTTACCGTTTTTTGCCGGCTTGTGGGACGTAACGTAAAACTGACGATTTCTAAGAATTAATTAAAGCAATATGTGTATAAAATTGTATAAAACGTGTATAAAACAGTACCCACCTATTAGGACAGATAAAAAATAAAATAGGTTAGGTTCAACTTATGTCAAGGAACTGAATTAATAGACCCCGACTCCACATGGTACGAGTCTGTCCTACCCCTAGAGTGTTTTTATAGAACCGGAGGCGGAGAGCAGCCTCCGCCTGCTGTAACAAATCGAAGGTATCGGACGAGCCGAAGCTGCAGAGGCGTGGCTGGATGCCTGCGATTTGTTACGCAAAGGTGTAGAGGCTGCTCTTCCCGCAGCGCCGGAGATGTTGCAGTCTCAAAATAGATACAAAAAGCCCTCTAAATGAGTCACTCTATTTATTTTTGGTGAAGGGGGTTCCCCCTTCCTTAAGGGGTACTCCCTTCCCCCCCCCAAGAGGTCGCCATGGTTTTTTACACTTAATATTTATGCATAAAAAATAAAATTTCCTCGGAATTAAAATTGAAAAAACTCAAAAAGGGCCCCCCCCCTTTTCTCCTTCTCCGCAAGTTTTCCTTTTAAGGGGGAGTAGTACACCCCCCCCCCGCACTCCCCCCACCCCCTCCCACCTTCAATTCGACGGACGTCAATGGAAAGTCGTACCGAACATTTCTCCAAGCATTATCATCCTAGTTACAGTGTGAGCAAGCAAATTTGGACTGAGCTACTCAATAATCTGCATAAAAGTTGTTTGGCAGGCTAGTAAGCTATTACCTTACCTTAAATCTTCTTATGGTTTTTGCACTTATAGTCACTTGTTGAACTTCCTGGAGTTTGTTTCTTTATTTGAAAGAAATCATAGTGTGATTTCTAAGTACACTGCTTATTCATTCATACATTACAGCCTATAAAAGCCCATTTCTGAACATGGCCACCTCTGTAGATTGCAACCTAAGGTGGATTTTTCCATAGTTGACACACTTGGCAGGCAGGTTATCAACTAATTTTTTTTTTATTTTGAGTTGTCAGGAATATGCTACCCATCACCTGTTTCAAATTCCCTCTGTTGCCTCTTGTGATGCCCATAGAAAAATATGGGGTAGTGGATATTCCTACAGTGCCTCTGAGTAGTTCATTATACTACTTATAATAAAATTAAGTTAATACACTTCTACATATGTTATTTTATGTAATAAGAAATATTTTTTTACTTTTTTATTTTCCTCTAAATATGTCCATGTAGTCCAGTAGAAGGTTTATATTGTTGTTTGAGGTAAACATTTGTGTATAAAATTAGGTCATCAATCAGTAAATAGGTTCTCTCCAACGTTGCTAATATAATACTGTAACTAATAATACGAAGGTAGCACAGCTGCAAGAAGCTTTCTGAAGAAAATTTAACTGTAATCTAGGAGTACTTACAAAGAAAATGAAAACCATCGATATCCTTCAATCATTTTAATGATGCTTATTACCAATCATCAACAGATAAAGAACTAAATAAGTGATACAAATGAAGTTTCATTTGTTGTGCATGATAGACCTGAAAATATCCTATTTAACTGTGACAGGAACCGCTTGTTATCGTAGACCGTGTGCTCATTTCATTAATCTTTAAAAATAATAAAATGACAATTTTCCCTATAATTAAATATACCAATATCATGAGACAAGCATAATCTTAAATGTATAGGAAATGTTTTTTTTTTCTTTAATTACTTTTTAGCCTTTCTTAATCCACTGCTGTGTATAACATGGAGGCTAAAAGGGCCTCCATGTTATACAACACAAACAACCATCCATGTTATACAAGACAAAGTGCAATAACTACATGTATTTGAAAGGTTTTATTCTAATATTTAGCTTTACCTACAGCCTCGACCATTGACCATATGTGGACAGGGTTTTTATATATGCCAACTCACAAGGATTTATTCTATCTTAGTTGGAGGAGGTGCCAATTTAACCATGTTCTTGTTTGAAGCGGGCTGCAGGTGTGTATAGATTGTAGTAGCCGCACACCGTCCGGTGCACGGTGAGTTTGTTTGTAACTAATTTTATTTTAAAAATGTATTAATACTAGTTAATGTTCATTGTTTCAGATTTAGACTACAAACAAGATAAAATCATAAAATTACTATTTCTTTGTATCCATCTTGATCAATTTTATAAAATAGTTTTAATATGGTGATAGATATTTGAAAAATTATGATCAGATGACAGAAGGATTATAGCGTGTGGAGTGTATGACAATGTTTTTGTGGTTTTTTAATGATGTATATCAAGTTTTCTAAGTGCAAGAGAAGTGAAGTGGCCTATTCATAAAAAATCATACTACATTTGATGTAAGTGGTGTACACCAACTTCTCACACGTGATAATGGAAGACAATGTTGATGCAGATGGCGACCGTGGACTGTAAGATATCACAAAATTTTAACTATTTTATCATAAAAATTGCATTGTCACACAAATATGCTAAGTTTTATATAAATTATATTGCAATATATTAAGAGTACATATTGTGATATTTTTTATAGAATAAGGGTGTCAAACGAGCACACAGACCACCTGATGGTAAGTGGATGCTGTGGCCCATAGACGTCTACATTTATCCTCGGTTAGGAATCAAAACGCAAATGCGTTGTCACCCCTGATGACTTAGATGGAAGCCTCGTTTCCAGTAAAAAAGGTCTCCGGATTTCTAAACTCACCATACAAAACACAGCAGTATTCAGCTGCTATTTTACACTGGTATTCTGTGAGATTGTGGTCTTTCCCCGGTCAAGCCGACCCATTCATGCTATGACCATAGCTGCAGTGTGGCTCTACTTTTTTGTCAGCTTTTCCTTATTCATCTCTGAAAATAAAATAATAATGTTCTAAAGGGATTGGATACTTTTTAAGATTTGCCCTTACTTGCATACTGGGGTGTGTAATAGATACCCTCATACTGGTAGTACTTATTGTATTAGTTTTAAGAGTTAAAAAATTTATTGTGTATAAGACAGACTTAATGGCATGTGGCATTCTGTGCCAGTCAACCCTGGGTGTTGAAGATAAATATTGGCAGTGATATATACATGTATATAATACTAGCTGGTGGCATCTGGGGCATTGTTGCAATATTGTTTAAAATTGAAGGGTTATATTGGTTGATCGGAAGTGATAAACATTATTTGAAGTTGAATGATATATAACTTTAGAATAAATTTGTTTGTATGATATGTGCGACCATAACCTTCGCAGACCAATCTGATGGACAGTTTGGCCCAGAAGTCGATGTTAAGCCGAAATTGGGTGATAGATCAAGTCATAATAGTTAACAAAAAATATAAAGAAAAAAATCATGTATGGCACAGTATGTAGTGTAAAAAACAAGGATGGCGTAATTATTATCACACGAAGTCTTTCCTAAAAGATTTCAAGGCTTTTTTGTAGTTTGACCATTTTAATTCTAGCTGAAGAGAGTTAGTCGCTAGATACCTACTGTCTTTCAGTCTTCAATACTAAAATTGCATATGTATTGAAAAATCGAGTAATGGTAGGTTACGGGAATAAATGAAGTGTAATGGTAGAATTTATAATTTAGGATTACTTTAATGTAACAAGTAGGCTAGACAAAATTACTTTTTATTCATCATCCTCTCTTATATCTACAACATCAAGGAGTGATGTTGGCACTGGCGATATTGTCGGCTGATGCCTGGCCCACCCAAGGTACCACACAAGCGTCATAACATGTGCACATCACCCAACTGTCCTTCGATTCGATACCCTCTGTGTAACCTGACATGTTCACTATAATAGGACCTTTCCTGTTGAATCCATATGGTCCCAGTGCAAATAATATAACTTCATACATGCGGCTTAAAGCTCGTTGCAGTGTTTGCTAAATAAAAATATGTGGTGGAACCATACAACAACTATTTATCACACAATAATAGGGCATCTCTCAAACGCGCAAACCCTACATCTGTCCTATAAATCACAAACATCATGTATAATATCACTGCATTTATTATTCTAAAAATCGTCGGCATTTTATAAGTCCTTTCTTAAAAATAACACAGTAGATAGGTGCAGTGCGGGCCCTTTGTTTATTAAAGTATTCATTTATTAGCAAGTATAAATTCCAAACATCATTAAAATATAATGTCTAGAGATACTTACCCATTTATATAATTATAAATCAGAAGGAGATTGTGAATTAAAAGAGATAAAAAAGGGTGCCAGAGCATTAAATTCAACTTTGCTCGGCATTTATTTATAAATTACACATATAACATAATATATAACAGAAAATAAAAGCACACAGTAACATTGAAATAGGTAAAATAAACAACATTACAATTTTAATTGATCATTATTAATCATCATTGCGACAGTCCACTGCTCAACATAGGCCTCCTAACTAAATATATAATGTAAAATATTACACAGGCCTTTCGTGAATTGCCATCCCGTCCCATATGATGTTGTAAAAGTCGACAGAGTAAAATAAAAATATCAGGAGATGGGCAGCGGCATCTTCGTATAGAATACTACAAAAAACTTTGGTTGCCACAAGTGTAGAAACTATGGAAAAAATCATCATTAATATAACAATATTAATACGCATTAAGGTTATAATCATCATTCTGTATTTTCAATATCATCACTTGATGGTAATATATTATATAAAAAAAGATGCAGGTGGATCAACCTCATATCGATGCTATGCCCATGATAGAAACCAAACTAAAATAGCAGCTTAATGCTGCTGTGTTTCGAATGGTGAGTATAGAGAACCGGAGACCCTTTTTAATGGTAACAAGGCATTCTATCTCAGAAGATAAATGTAGATGTCTATGGGCCACAGCATCCACTTACCATCAGGTGGACTGTGTGCTCGTTTGTCACCTTATTTCTATGAAAAAAGAGAAAATTACTTTTTATTAGTCATCCTCTCTTACAACTACAGCATCAAGGAATGCTGCAGGTGCTGGTATTGTCGGCTGATGCCTGGCCCACCCAAGATACCACACAAGCGTCATAACATGTGCACAGCACCCAACTGTTCTTCTACCAACTAAACAATTGCAGCAATACTCTATTATAGCTTCCCTTCCAGACAAATTATTTTCAATTAATATATAAACATAATATACTTTTCTCGAAATGTGTCTGGATTTGATTTTGCCTCTTATAATTGAATTATTTCCACTTCCTCTCAAACAATACTCTGTTATATTAATGTTTTCTCTGCTTATTTCAATTCTATACCCTCCATGAAACCTGACATGTTCACTATAATAGGACCTTGCCTGTTGAATTTGATATGTTCCTAGGGCAAATAATATAACTTCATTATATTCTAGATGGGGGAATATAATATTAGTATTGGAATGAGCTGTAATACTAGTAAAATCAGATGTTCGTCTATTCATATTCATACTATTTAAAAAATCAGATAAATTATTATTTAATGGAAATCGTTCTCTAATCACATTTATGATTTGCTTAGCATCATTCCTGTTTTTTAATCAAACACCGAATTTATTTAAAATGCTTGCAGCTATGGAAAACATTGCATCATATACCACATATAATTCAATAGTAGCCTATTTGAGTATTTACCGTTAATATACCTTCATTCACCATCATCTTAATTGTTCCTTTTTTGTTTTGTTGCATCATATGTGGAACGGTTTTAAAAAATCTTGCCGAAATATTTTAAAGTCTCGTTTGAAGTACCCGTTAACAACTTCCACCACCCATCGGCATATAGTCACACAACGACTCCTGTTAGTTAGCTTGCTCAGTGATGATCTGATGTTCACCCTCAAGCAGGGGTTCTGGCATATATGTTGTGTGGCTGCAAGCCTCTAACAAACTAATTGAATCTCTAAATCCCCTGTCTAGAATAATAACATCGTTATTTTGAAAGTATTGTCTGAGAGGAGAGTTTTCATCTCTGAAAAGAGACTTAATTATATCTGCATCAGTTGTGGTAGCTTTGTATGGGCCAAAGCAGTCTAAAATGTACCCATCAGGTGTCACCAGCAAAAATGGTTTTAACAAGTTTTTGTATTTATGTAAGGAATATGTGTCCCTTTGGAACATATAATTGGAACTTTATGTCCCATCACATATAACTATCGCATTTTCATTATTTTGATTATAAATTGCATTAGGAATCATTAAATTGTGTTGCAATAATTGCTCACGTGATATGTGTTCAATTCCCAGATTTCTAGTCACAAAATCTTGTACCAATATTTCCCTAACCTTATCCATTAATCTTTCTAATGTTCGCCTTGGAACCATTAATAACTGTGATAACCGGTCATCTGATTCACCAGTTCTCATCTTTATTAGAAGAGCACCTAAACCTAAAATGCCTCTATTTGTTTCTACAAGATGGTGTGTTTCATATAGTAAAAGTTTAAATTGTTGTTTATTCATTCCGAGCCAATAATGAAACAAATGCTCATCAATTCTTTCAATACTTTCCATATTCGAGAAATCAAGAAATGTGTTGAAAACATTTATAAAAGAAAGAGCATGTTCCACTTGTTCAGCCGTAAACGTTCTCAAACTATTTTGAGAATTGAACAACATATCCCAATCAGTACTAAATGTATGCACTACAAAAATACGAGCATTTATAGGCAAGTAATATTTGTGTTTGCTAAGAGTTGTTGCTCTTAGAGGGTCAGAAATTCTATGCAAATCTGTGTTCTGGCAACCAGAAAAAACACAATGTGCTGCAGTGTTTGCCGCTCGTCTATACTGCGGCAAACTAATCACCCGAGGTATTTCGTCATCTTGCTGGTCGGTATGTGGTGGGCTTTGAGGTTCTTGGGGTTGTGGCTCTGGCTCCTGCTCCTGTTGAAGCTCTGGCTCTGTCTGCTGCATATTGTGTGTTGCAACTCTCTTGAGTCTCAGCCAACAGGGATGACAAACATGGTCTGTTGAAGTTGCCTGAAACAACCATACAGCTTTGTCCTAATATAAATGTTTTGGCTAATTGTTATTAAACCCGAGCAAACAGAAACACTTTTACAAAACAATATATAATTGCAGCTATATCATTGATACCAGTACAAAATAAAAAGGTAATTATTACCTGCCATGGGGCAATTCTGTTTTCAAGCTCAACATGTATTGCTTGTTGCAACTGAGATGGATTCTCTCTCACAACAACATCACGTTTATGAGTCCTCAGAGAACTTCCACAAAGTATGCAAACATGCTTGTGGCCACGGGAAGATGAGGCACCAGGTTCATTAGGTAACCCGGAGTTGACATGCTGTATTGCCAATTGCTGACAGACATCACATACGTAATCTTCTTCAGTGATCTAAAATAAGAATTAGAGTTGTATTATGATGATGTATTATGTTAGTGTAATAAAATAAGTAGGTACGTAAATACATACTATTATTGAAGAATTCCACTCGCAGATCTTAGAAATTAATCTTGTATCAAGCTCAAAAACGAGATGGTGGCGAAGTTTATCAATGTATATGTTACAATTAACACAAAGCAATCGCACACCTAGTTGTCTTTGTTGTGTTTGCATGATGTTTCTCACAATTATCCAAGATATGAAAAAATCAGTCCGTAAAGAAATACCGAGGTCAAAACAACAGAAGGAAATAAGAAATAACAATTTAACAATAATACTGGCGCGAATCGATGATCACAGAGTAAGCGATGACAAATGACGTTCCGTTGTACATATGTAATTGAACAAAACCTTTAGCTTACTATGACCTACATAATTATTTTTATGATAAGAATCCAGTACATAATAAATCAGCTTTGTAGTTGATTTCATATCTACATACTAAATGAATTGAATTAAAATTAACAACTATTTATAAAAACCTGAATAATTATAGTCTTTGAATAACAAGTCCTTTCACACACACGAAATGAATCGTCATTAGGTGCGTTCTGAAACTATAATTTGAAATAATTTTGAACAGTTACAAAAATAGAAATAAATGGATAATTTTTTTTGTGGCTACTTAGAGAGGTATTTCTAGAGTGTTGTAAGACCTTAAACAATAAGGGTATTTTACATAAATATTTCATATTGCGACGCTATCATTTCGTTGTCTGGTACGATTTGGCCATCCTCCTTTACAGCCAACTGCTCCAGTCCAGAAGGAAATGTAATTTTTTTCCCAATCAAGTATTCAAAATTAATACTTTTCCCAGTTTTAAAGAAACTAATTGAAAAGAAGCGTCATGTATTTTGTTTCACGCCCGCGTAGTGATCAACCAATTATTGGTCCCCTGTCCAATACCACACCTTGTTGGATTCGGAAATCAATGCAGTGGGTGTGACCCCTGATAAGATGTTCGACTTAGAAACTTTTAGAAACAAAATTTTTCGTAAAAATTGTATAAACCTAAAAATGCCCATAGCTCTTCTTTGTTCATAGGTGCTGGTTTCTCCTTTATCTCTTTCAGTTTAATAGGTGACGGGTGCAATCCCTCTGCATCGATCATATGCCCTAAAAAACTTATCTGATTTGACGCAAACACACATTTGTTCAGATTTAACCGAAATCCCATTGCATTTAGTTTTGTCATGACCACCCTTAGTCTTTGATCATCCTCCTCCTTATTCTTTCCACAGCGACATCATCCAATAGACATGCTACTCCTTCAATACTTGCGAGTGCAGTCGACATAACACGCTGGAAGATTGCAAAGGCTGCATTTACTCCAAATGCTAGCCGGTTCATCCTCATTAACCCTAACGGAGTATTCAGTGTTAACAACATAGCTGTGTCCTCGTCCACTATCATCTACATGTAAGCCTGTTTTAAGTCAATCTTACTGAAAATTCTTCCACCACTTAATTTCACAAAGAACTCATTAGCAGCTGGTAATGTATCAGTCTCTACGGCTAGATTAACAGTTGACCTGTAGTCACCACATATTCGAAGTGAGCCGTCATCCTTTTTTACAATTCTTAATGGAGTAGCCTATTTAGAGTATTTTACCGGGGTTAATATACCTTCATTCACCATGCATCTTAATTGTTCCTCAACTTGTTTTATCAGAGAAAATGGTACCGGGCGTGCCTTCAAAAACCGTGGCAAGGCATCAGCTCGCACATTTTAACGACACCTGAGGACCCTTATACTCTCCAAGTCCTTCTTTGAATAACTCCGGAAAAGATTTTAATAATTCGTCAACCTTCTCATCATCGGTTCAGCATATGCCAGCTATCTCTAAACCCAAAATTTTAAACCAGTTTCTTCTTATAAGGCTAGGCCCACGACCAGAAACAACCAGTAGCTCACATTGTGCTTCCTTGTGTCCCAATGACACTTGAACATGAGCTCGACCTAACACCTTCAGTTCATCACAGGTCCACGTAACCAACTTCACGCCTGTCGCCTCTAAGGGTGGGGGAACAGACCACAGCTTATAGTATGTATCTTCAGCCATGATTGTCCTTGAAGCACCTGAGTCCACTTCCATGCTAACTTTTAAACCATCAATCATAACATCTGCTTTAAATGGTGGTCGAATATTATCTGAGCAAACAAAGACACCCATCATCTGTTCAGATTTTTCATTTTCTCTATCTGAAGTTGAACTTTCCTCCACCTGGTGCAACTTGCCAGATTTCTTCATACAGGCCGGCGCAATATGTCCAAACTTCTTACAATAAAAACATTTTGCTTTTATAAAAGGACACCTGTTGCCGTCGCTGTGTGACCTTACACAATGACGACATGTAATCGCTTTAATTTTACCAATATCCATAGGTACTGTGGCTGTGGACGGAGTTTGCTTCAGCACACTTGTTTCCAGGTACAAATCCGAGAATGTGCCTTGATAGTTAAGGCTCAATTGCACTGCTAAGTAAGATTTTTCGTCTTTAACAACTCGCGACGGAGACGCTCTTCACACACCTAACACTAATCGGTCCCTTAGCTGTCTTTTTAAATCCATAAAGTTACACCTGGAAGCCAGAGAGACAATGGCCGCAATAAAGTTCTGAATACTTTCATTATAATTTTGTTGATGTTTAGGAAATTTATCAGTTTGTAAAATTTCATTCACTTGAGGTTCATAGAATTGGTCAAGAACTGCTAAAATGTCTTTAAATGTCACAGAAGTCGGCCCTCTAGGCACTAATAATGAAACAATTAATGAATATGTTTTCTTTCCGCATTGTGATAGGAAAAGAGCGCGGGCTTTGTCTACATTATCACCAATTACATCCGCGGCTTCCAGAGCACACAATAAACATTCTTTATATTCACTCCGTCAGTCCTGGGATCAAATTTTCCGGGAAACACTACATTTGTCAAATTACACGCCATATTACTACTTAAACCAGTTAATTTTCGTCAGTCGCCATTAAAAGATACACGCCAGATCAAGTTGCAAAACAAACTCATTTAATCAAATATTCCTCAAATATTCCTTCCACATATATTACAATTTTACCCTCAACATTATCAATACATAACAGAACCTTAACTCTCTCAAAAGAAAGTGGTTGACAACAAAGATTATGGGCGCCAAGTAATGTTCCCGGTCCAGACAACAGTCATATACTGAACTGTATATCTTCTTACTTCCCTACTTTTAGGGTAGACACTGGTGAAATAAAACTGCAATTGTACATAAATGCCCCTTGGAAATGTGATACCGAAATTTCACTACTTTCACAACTTTCACTTTTCATACATCTATCTTCAATTAAGCATCAAAATGACGATGTGTTATCCCTGACCCAGATGCTGAGTTGCCATTTGTCTACATTCGCCATAATATGAAACACAATCGTATTAAGTTGCTTATTTGGCTACTTGATATGAATGCCTGTGATACACTGACTTGGGCATTAAAGTGCTATGCTATGTGCTATGTAAGTAAAAGTGCTAAGATGAAAAAATTAACTTTATCATATACTGTTATAAGTTAACTGTATTTGTAATGTTAATGTTGTTCATAAATAAAAATAAAATAGAATAGTATAAATCTATTGTAAAATTTCTTGCAGAGTGGGATTGGACCCCAGTGCTGCAGAAGGGGATGGCGACCGTAACCGATACAGGTATTTTTTTTATAGAATAAGGGTGATAAATGAGCACACACTCCACCTGATGGTAAGCAGATGCTGTGACCCATAGACACCTTGTTGAGTAGAATATCGTTAAAGTGTTCTCCGGTTCTTTACACTCGCCATACGAAACACAGCAAATTTATGATGTTCTTATATACTGGTTTTCTGTGTAAGTGTGATCCTACCCTGGTCGAGGCAACCTATTCATGCTGCAACTAAAGAAGAAAGCTAAGATACTTGTTATGTGGCTCTACGTTTTTGAAACTGCCAAATATTATATAAGTAATGCAGAGCAAGGTCTGAAGCCATCTGCAACCAATGGCTCCTCCTATAATCCTCATCATGGTTCATGTGGCGGCGCTGTCGTCGCGCCACAAGCGAAATACACCGAAGCCTAAATCACGCTATCAACATTCCGAATCAGAAACAGTATCACATCTCCGTGTGATAGACACGGAGCGTTGGCCGCCCCCTGGACAAAACACCTTGCCCCGCAGGAGATCTCCCCTATTTCTTCCACCGCTAAACTCGTGACCCCGACGTGATCTGAACACGCAACCAACAACCTTCGGAAGCTTCATTATCGTCATAGAGTACCCCACCCATTCGCTCCCGAGCAGATATCGTTTGCAGTCTTCATATCCTGCAAGCCATCTAGCTTCACAAGGTGCATCGCAGCACTGGAATAATAATGCTTCCTGTTCCTTCAAGCTACTCTCTGCGCCATACACATAAATGCGGTTTTCTACAGGATGCATTTCGAAGTGTGCACAAATTCTTCGTCATGCGATTCATACGGAAAAGTAGTGGAATAAGTTGCCAGCATCTGTCTTCCCTTTCCATACAATTACAATTTTGGTGTCTTCAAGTCCAGAGTGAATAGGCTTTTGTAAAGTCAGTCGCATCTTTGGCTGCATCACCCTTTACCATCAGGGTAGTAGTTGAGCGCTGGATTAAAATAGTAAAAAAATTTGATGCATTGTGGTTACAGCCTGCTGGCGCGATGTGCATCGCAGTCATCGTTAGACGAATCGTCGCAGCCGCGAGCAGTCGGCGACGCAGATGCGGCCGAAAGCGGTGCGCAGCACGCCGTCGCGCTTCTCGACGCGCTTGCGAGCCTGCGTTGCGACGCCACGCTGTGCGACGTGCGCCTGCAGGTACAGCAGCACACGTTGCACGCCGACGCGCTTGCGAGCCTGCGCTGCGACGCCACGCTGTGCGACGTGCGCCTGCAGGTACAGCAGCACACGTTGCACGCCGACGCCCTTCGAGCCTGCGCTGCGACCGCCACGCTGTGCGACGTGCGCCTGCAGGTACAGAAGCACACGTTGCACGCCGACGCGCTTGCGAGCCTGCGCTGCGACGCCACGCTGTGCGACGTACGCCTGCAGGTACAGAAGCACACGTTGCACGCCGAGGCGCTTGCGAGCCTGCGCTGCGACGCCACGCTGTGTGACGTGCGCCTGCAGGTACAGCAGCACACGTGGCACGCCGACGCGCTTGCGAGCCTGCGCTGCGACGCCACGCTGTGCGACGTGCACCTGCAGGTACAGCAGCACATGCAGTACGCAGCACACCGTCGCGCTGCTCGACGCCCTCGCTTGCCTGTGCTGCGAATGCTGCGAAAATTCGATTAAAAAAAGTTTAATATAAACCTTATGGGACTTTGAGCTGATGAGTTGTTTGAATTTTTATGTTCCATTGTTTCTAGTCGAATATTGGTTACTTATTATACTTCTATATAGTCCTACCAATTACTTTAGTTATTCTTTTCATATTATATAATAGCTAATTCGTATATTATTCGTAATAGAAGATCCTGGAACTGGAAGAAGAGATTGCATTACAAGTTGCGCTGGAATATTATAGGATTATCCGAGTTTTGAGGAAAGGGCCCCCGGAACGGACACGATGATCTTCCGGCAACTTTATACGTGGTAGGGCCACACTGCAGCTATATTATTGTTGTGGTACGAAATGGGTTGGCATGACTGAGGTAGGACCTCGCTCTCACAGAATACCAGCGTAAAATAGCAGCTTAATACTGCTGTGTTTCGAAAAGACGAGAGCCAACAATACCATACCATCATTATCATTAGCATATCATCTTAGTTCTTAGGGCTGACAATGCGTTTGCTTTTTGATTCTTAATCGATGGTAAATGTAGATATCTATGAGTCACAGCATCCACTTACCATCAGTGGTCCGTGTGCTCGTTTGTCACATTTATTCTATAAAAAAAAAACTTGTTCTATCACTGAGTAGGCGACCATCTGTCCCAAGGAGGTGTCGGATTTATCGTCCACAAGTCTCTCGTTAACAACGTTGTAAAGATTAGGAGTGTGTCGACGAGGGTTGCGTACCTTGTACTCAGAATCACCAAAGGGTATTCGTCGTTGTTCATACAGGCTTACGTACCAACCTCGGCATATCCCTATGAAGAGGTGGAGGAAATGTATGAGGATAGCTCTAGAGCCATTTATTCTTTCAAAACCCAATATACGGTGTTAATAGGAGACTTCAATGCAAAACTAGGCACTAAAGAAAACGGTGAGCTGAAAGGTGAAGAATTCGGAATAGGGCATCGGAAACCAAAGAGCCAGCAACTGGCCGACTTCGTGGAGAAAGAGGGACTCTTTATGATAAACTCTTTCTTCCAAAAGTGGCCCCACAGAAAGTGGACTTGGTCGAGCCTAGATGGTTTGACAAAAAATGAGATTGACTTCATTATGATGACTAGACGGCAATTGTTCTGTGATGCCAGTGATCGCTAGGGTGAAAACTAGCAGCAATCACCGAATGGTTAGAGGCACACTGAACCTAAACGTTAAGTAAGTAGAAGTCTCGTCAATGAAGTCAACGCTCCGTCCCTCCCCTCATGCTCCAATCCAAAGTCCCGAAACCTTTCAGCTCGAGTTACAAAACCATTTTGTAACTCATAAAAATTATTTGCGTTGTTTTACAAATTTAGCAACTTTTAATATATACAAACAAGGCACGAGTAAGATTCCCAGTGGCTTAAATAGAAGCCGACATCTGTAAATACTAGGAACAGACACAAGCCAGTAATATTACCAGTTACTTTACTGCACCGAGTCAGTAATCTTTCTTGGTTTCTTATATTTACGCGAACACTACACATTAAAATAATACTAGTTTTTACGGAATTTATCGCGTATATTTAACTTTTTTTTTTTTAAATACCCGACGTTTCGAACGCTTTACAGCACTCATGGTCACGGGCAGGACTGAGATGTTCAACGTCCATATGTCATAGTTAACCGCGGTTACCATAGATTAAAATTTTAACTTTTGTTCCGATCTATGCAGTATGAACTTATGGTATCTTGAAGTCTTGCAGTTGTATGCTTGGGTTGGGATTTAATTTTATTTATTATAGGATCCCAAGCAGATGGTAGCACCCAGCCATCTTCTCTATTGAAATTAGGATGTTTTTTGATTTCAATAGCCTCGCGAATCATCCTTGGAAGGAATCGGTGTTCTTTAGCGAGGATCTGCGGTCTATCAAATCTGATGTAGTGACGGGGGCGATCCTGTACGTGTTCACAGACTGCAGACTTCCCGGAGCGTCGATTCTTCACATCAACTATATGTTCTTTAACGCGGGTTTTTATTGATCTTTTAGTTTGTCCTATGTAGGAGAGACCACATTCACAATCAAGCTTGTACACTCCTGCATCTTGCAGAGGGACATTACACTTGACCGATGGTAAAAACTGACCAATCTTTTTCAGCGGCTTGAAGTATGTTTTGATGGAAGCGCGCTTCAAGATGTAGCCAATCTTGTCAGTGACTCCTCTAACATATGGCAGTACAGCAGGTACACGCTCGACTGTGGCCGGCTTCACTCGTTCACTGTGACGTAGGCGCGGGACTAGAAGCTTGTTGTCATGAAAAACTTGCGTGACATGGTGGAGCTCTGGAGCCAGGTGTTTACTGTCACAGATCCCTCGTGCTCTCTGAAACAAAGATTTACCCACGGTAGCTAACTGTGAAGGATGGTGGTGAGAATCACCGTTTAAATATCTATCTGTATGGGTCTTTTTTCTATACACAGTATGGCTCAAGGTGTTATCAGGATTCCGAATTACTAACACATCTAGAAAAGCTAAGGAATTGTTTGCCTCTAACTCCATTGTGAACTGAATTTTAGAATTTATAGAGTTAAGATGGTTTAAAAATGCAGTTCCTTTATCTAAAGGTAGAATTGTGAAAGTGTCGTCTACGTACCGCTTGTAGAACCTTGGATTTATGGGAGAACTAAGCAGGGCTTTCTCCTCAAAGTCTTCCATGAATATGTCGGCGACAATGGGAGATACAGGTGAACCCATCGCCACACCATCTACGTGCTTGTAGAACTCCTCCTTCCACAATAGGTAGCCAGATGTAAGGCAGTGTCTGAGTAATACTGCATATTCTACGGGCATGTTGTTTTCTTCCAGCTTTCTAGTTACAATTGAGATGCAGTCTTCAACAGGTAAGCATGTAAACAATGACTGCAAATCAAAACTGACCATAGTTTCATTGTCTGCCAGATGTAGGTCTTTAATCTCGCTGACAAAATGGTAGGAATCCTTTATGTGTGCTCTTGTATGTCCCCTGAGTGGTGAGAGTATTTTCGCTAAGTGTTGAGCCAATCTGTAAGTTGGTGAATCGATTTGGTTCACTATGGGACGTAATGGAGCATTGGGCTTGTGTATTTTTGGTAACCCATACAATTTTGGTGATTTGGCGCACGTAGGTATTATCCATTTTACGTCCAGATTTAATTTTTCGGAGTGTTTCTTTATGAGGTCACTAGTTGTTTTTATTGTGCTATTTGTTGGGTTGTTTTTAACCTTATTATAAGTACTTACATCCGACGAAAGTTCTTGTATTTTAGAATTATAATCTGACGTATCCATGACTACCGTGGCGTTTCCCTTATCTGCGCGGAGAATCGTAAGTTCGTGTTTATTGCGTAGGTCTTTAACGCTATAAATTCGTCTTTGGGAAGATTCGGTTTAGGCACTGAACATCGACGTAACATAGACGAGATGTCTTGACGTATCGCCTCCAAATCTTCTTTCCGCATATTGTTTTTAAATAAACAGTCCTCGACACTACAGATAATTTCTTCGTACGGTAATTTGCGGGGTGTAATTGCAAAGTTGAGGCCTTTGGATAAAACCCTAATTGTTGCATCATCTAGTGTTTGTTTTGACAGATTATAGAGCGCGATTAATCTATGATCTGTGTTTGTCAATGGTTGCTTTCGGTTCTGGCATTGATTCAGATGTTTGACATTTGACTTGTTCGTTAATTTTTGATATTTTTCTATATGTTTGTTTTTGCATTCACTATATTTATTAATTTCGCGTTTATTTAATGTTTCCATGCAAAAATTATAGTCAAACGTCGTTAAAACTTTCTTCAATTCACTGGATGATGTGTCTATGGATTTGTTTATGTCATATAGATCGGAGCGTTTTTGTTGGATTACCGTCCGTAACAACTTTTTACTCGCCTGATTTAAGATCTTAGCGCTTCCTCGAATGTCTTTTTTGGTTGATATTTTAACACACGTAGGAATGAGATTATGGTCACAGCATCTCTTCAAGAAATTTAAGGCTGTTAGATATCTTGCGCGCTTGGTCTTTAGATCTTCTAATCGGCGTATTTTATTTGCAATTACCAGTCCGTACTGGTTTACATAATGATTTCTTATATTTACGCGAATACTACACATTGAAATAATACTAGTTTTTACGGAATTTATCGCGTATATTTAACTTTTTTTTTTTATTTTTTTTTTAAATACCCGACGTTTCGAACGCTTTACAGCACTCATGGTCACGGGCAGGACTGAGATGTTCAACGTCCATATGTCATAGTTAACCGCGGTTACCATAGATTAGAATTTTAACTTTTGTTCCGATCTATGCAGTATGAACTTATGGTATCTTGAAGTCTTGCAGTTGTATGCTTGGGTTGGGATTTAATTTTATTTATTATAGGATCCCAAGCAGATGGTAGCACCCAGCCATCTTCTCTATTGAAATTAGGATGTTTTTTGATTTCAATAGCCTCGCGAATCATCCTTGGAAGGAATCGGTGTTCGTTCATTATTAGTTAGGTAACCTAGAAGATCAGCAGCTGAATGACCCCGCCATCAGCTGGTGATCCTCTAGGTACCACATGAGCTAGCAGTTTATAATGAAATACATTATTTTGGAGAACAAAGAGGTGGTAGCGATAGGCCTGTAGTTAGACGGATCTGAGCGGTCTCCTTTTTATGTATCGGGTGCACTAAAGCTGTACACCATGATTTCAGCAGGACTACGCCTAGGGAGCAGGAGTACCGGAAAAGACGCATTAAAACCGGTGCAAACTCCGCAGCTCACGTCTTCAGCACAAAAGGAGGGTTGATATAGGACCACTCCACTTATTGATGTCCAGGAAGAGGAGTGTCCTGCGCACCGAGCGCTGGGTAAACACCACATCCTGCATGGAGCACTCTTACCGTGGTATGGTTGGCGGTGTGTTCCTACCGTTATCAAGAGTCGAGTTGGACGCAAAGAAAGAGTCCAGCGGATCGGCTTTGTCCTTTGTGGAATGGGCCAGTGTGTCGTCCTCCCTGTGCAAAGGTGGGAGAGATGATGACAGAAGTTCACTTGGACAGCCTTGGCGAGAGACCAGAATGCACGTGTTCCCGAAGGAAGTCGAACTAGTTTTGCCGATGTGCTTTGACTTTGCTTTGGCACTTTTGAAGGACTTGGAGGCGGAATAATACTCTTTTTAAGAGCGCTGGTATTTGCATCCCGAGACGTCGATGCGTGATCCCAGGCCTGGTAGGCAGGCTCTTGTTTATGGCGTAATGCAATTTTGAAGGAGCGAACAAACCATGGTTGGTTCTGCCTCCCATAGGTACGATGATGGAATAAAAAGTTCCATTCCCTGTAGCACCACATCAGTGACTGAATCAGCCACAACGCTGGAATTATCTGGAGAGAAGCAAAGATTCAAAAAAAATTGCATCTTGTCCCAATCCGCTGACCTATAATGCCAAATACGGCGGCAACCTGCAGAACGCAACCGCGATGGGAGCGGGAGTGGCACCGTACTACGGATCAGACAATGGTCCGAGCAATCAAGAAGGGCATCAACGGAGATCTCATATCTGTCCGGATGAGATGTCAGCAGAAGGTCCAAGAGGGAAGGTACATGATTTTCCACCTCTGGGATCCGCGTAGTCGACGTAACCAATTGTGTCAGACCATATGCCAAAGCAAAGTCATAAACATATCTAGCCGCGTGATCGGTTAAACAGGAACGAAGCCACTCAGCGTGGTGGGCGTTAAAATCACCAGGCATCACTATCTCTACGGATGGGATTTGTTGTAGCACGGAGTCAGCAGTCATTTGGCATCCATCCATCCATCTGTGTCGACGTTATCGCTGTGGGACCAATAGTAGCGTAAAAAATATATATTTCACTTTATTTTAGTATAAAATGCGACGACCATCCCCTCGTCTAAGGGTAGGCACCCTTAGACGTGGGGATTGTCGTCGCTGTTGAAGCGCAGCCATAAGATGGACAGGTTCGTACCTTCAAGGCGAGGCGTCGAAAGCAGATGTCCTCTCTGATGTACACGCAAACTTCGGCCCGGGGCACAAAGGAGTGTTTTAACTTGTACACCGAGTAGGAGAGATATGAAGTATCAGCCTGAGGGGACACCTGTATCCCGGTTAGAAAGAGCAAGGCCGGTTTCGCTTTTTTCAGATGGTAGTGGAACGCGTTAAGGTTTGAATGAAGTCCCCTGATGTTGCAGAAATTCAAGGATAGCGTGGCAGGGGGCGCCTTTGTCTTATTGTTCCGTTTGCCCCGAGCAGGCTTAGTCTCGAGCGAAATTTTGCCCCCTCCCCCCAGAATACGCGGGGCAGCCTGGGCCTAAGCAATTGGACCTCCGGTCACCTGCAATCACCAGACGAAATGCAGAAGCAGAGCTTCTACTTCACGCTGGTCTTCTGTGAGGTCGTGTTCGAACTCGGTTCGAGCCGGCCCATATGTACTACAGCAAAAACTGCCGCGTAGCTCTACCACTGCTAAAATCTTATCCGACACTATTACGATGAAATCCGGATGTCAGTTTGAGTGAGATTACAATGGCTCCCCAGCACCTAAAAAACGACAAGGCCTCAGGCGAGGATGGAATTACAGGCTTCTGAAAGCGGGTCGAAAACCGATACTTAAAGTCCTTCAGAAGCTTTTTAATTCTGTCTTCCATTGTGAAACTACTACGGCGACGTGGAGCAGAATTTTGCGAACCAGTGGTAAATTAAAAAAGTGACTTTCAATAAGTATTGTTATAATCTACATTAAATAAAAAAGTTTCTGTTTCTGTTTCACATTTATCACATTTATTAAATATACATAGATATTTTTGGAAGTATTTTAAAAATAAAAATGAAATTTGCAGGCGCCGGGCGAGGACGGGGCCCCCAGCGAGGGCGTGTGGGCGCACCGCGCTGTGCTGGCGGCCAGCTCGCCGTACTTCCGCGCCATGTTCACGCAGTTCGACGAGCGCACGCAGCCCACCGTCACCATACAGGTATCCCGAGCCCCTACACCTACATCAATACAAATACAAGCAAAATATATCTAGTACATTGCACTGTACTCAAAATCTTAACATTTTTATATGATATATTATTCAAACGCAATTTAAAAATAAGTTCAAATTAAACGCAATAAAATTAGTTTCTTTTAATGTGTGGGCGTGTAAATAATAGAAATCAGCAATGATATAATAGGTATCTTTATCCACAGAGGTTATATTTATCCGGCTCGAATGACAAAATGAAGAGTAAAAACGGTCTGATCTTCCTCTCACGCCCCCTATCAAGGTTCAACCAACTATTGACTTTCTATTCACATACCAATACCACACCACGCTGAGTTCAAGGCAACGAGGTGGGCGTGACCACAGAGGAAGAATTTCGATTCCGATCACAAGCCCGTTTTCTTAAAAGGATGAGTGGGCGACTAAAATGACGGGCCCCTAAGGAAATGGTCCCGGTCTTGACGCCTATCGTATGCGCTTACGTGGACTGTATCTTCTTTATCCTACTATTTGGGTGAACACTGAAAAATCTCGAAATAAATCAGCAATTTCTTCAATAAATTTCCACTTGGAAATGTGATACCGAACTTTCACTACTTTACCTACTTTAACTTTTTCTTTCTTGATTATATTTCCTAAAAATGTCATTAGTCCCGAACGAATTGCAAATCTAGTGACTTACTAATCTACCCCGGAAGCTAAACCCTAGAAGCGTGCGCCATGCGCCATTTCGATCTAAGCTAGATGCTAATTTTCATTATCACATTTATATTTATTACCCAATATCTTTATTGCCCATAACAATATCATCATACAATTAAGTTTTACACAAAATACAATAAAGACACATTACAACAATAATTAAAACATTAACATCATATAAAAGAATAATAAAATATTAAACAAAATTATCACATTTTTACAAGCTATTTCTTAGAGATATAAACTCTAAATGTCGACTGAAAACTTTATAGCAATTTTTAATAATAATCATCATCATTACAGCCCTTCACAAGTTCACTGCTGAACATAGGCCTCCCCCAAGGTATGTCACAAAGCACGGTCCTGAGCCACCTGCATCCATCGACTTCCTGAATGTCTGAATGAAAACCAGGTCGTCACTCAATCTAGTGGGGGGTCGCCCTACACTACGCCTACCGGTACGAGGCTGCCACTCGAGATTTTTTTAGAAATTATATATAATTTAGAAATTATTAGGACACGAGTAGAAAGTACGCTTAACAGGAGGGCATGAATGATTAATGTGATGATAGAGTGACGTCGATGTACGAATTTTGTTTTTAGTTTGAAAACCTTGTTTTTAACATTTGAAGGTTTTTAAAAGTATGACGTTTAAAAGGACCCGCGCGCGCCCCTTGGCATATGCCTTCTTTGCCTTAAGGATAAATTGCCACACACGAGACGCGCTCGTCCAGTTCATCCAGAGTCACCGAGAACGACAAAAATACCGATTGCTTATGAAATTTATCATGCCGGCCAATATGACTGCAGTCCAATATGCATTTCTAGTGAAGTAAACAGCTAAGAAGAAAGTAGACTGTGGGATATAGGCCCCTCTAAAAAACAAAGAATCCGCCTCATCATCATCATCATCATCATTACAGCTCTTTACAAGTCCACTGCTGAACATAGGCCTACCCCAAGGTATGCCACAAAGCCCGGTCCTGAGCCACCTGCATCCATCGACTTCCTGCATGTCTTACCAGGTCGTCACTCCATCAAGTGGGGGGTCGCCCTACACTTTGTCTACCGGTACGAGGCTGCCACTCGACAACCTTTTTTCCCCAACGGTTGTCGGTTTTTCGAGCTATATGGCCGGCCCATTGCCAGTTAAGCTTACTAAACCGTTGGGCTACGTCGGTCACTCTAGTTCTACTGCGGATATACTCATTTCTAAGTTTATCACGCAGAAAAACTCCGAACATAGCCCTCTATAGCTCGCTGAGCGACTGAGCGTCCTCATACGGCCAGCAGTAAAGGTCCACGTCTCGGTTCCATAGGTCATCACTGGTAACACGCACTGGTTTCACAATTTAGGTTTCAGGTTTTGAGATATACCTGACGAGAAGATGTGTCGTAATTTTCCGAACGCTGCCTAGCCGAGTTGAATCCGTCGATTGACCTCTCGGTCGAAGTTGGACTTACCTAGTCGGACTATTTGTTCCAGGTAAACGTATTCGTCACCAACTTCGAGCTTAGTGCTCCCAACCACTACAGGCGTAGGTGTGACATGGACATTAAACATGATCTTTGTTTTTTCCATGTTCATCTTAAGACCTATCCGTTGGGAGGCACTATTGAGGTCATTGAGCATAGTGCTTAAGTCCTCCAGCGATTCTGCCAGAAGGACAATATCGTCGGCAAATCGAAGGTGAGCGATGTACTCCCCATTGATGTTAATACCGTATCCTTTCCAGTTCAGTATCTTGGAAACGTTTTCCAATGCAGCGGTGATGAGTATCGGTATATAATGTCACCCTGTCTTACACCTGCCTGTAGTTGGATAGGTTTCGTACTCTGGTTCTGTACTCGGATAGCCATCGTAGCCCTACTGTACAAACACTTCAGCACTTCGATATACCGAAAAAGTAAGTAAGTAAAATTTTGATTTATTTTCATTTCAGAACGTGGAACCACACGCTCTTCAAGCAATCGTTGAGTATATTTACAATCCAGACTCGCTTGTCATCACTGAAGATAATGTGCAGGTGAAATACTATATATAATGTATACTTTCAACTGTTGTCACTTGGTGAAGCTCCATTATTTTTGATTCTAGACTGACTGGTTGTTAGTTGAAATAGCATCAGATCCCTGAAATATGCAAACACTATTATGCTGTTATTGAACGTTGGTACTCTGAGAGAGCGAACCGACGTTTTCGTGTTACAGCTGTCATACAGCAGCAGCTCTATTGCTTGTAAACTTGGCTAAGCCATCCTACATTAGTTTGTACTCAACTGTTGTACAAATGAATGTAAAAGAACATTAGTTGACCGTTGAACCTATGACACGCCATCAACAGTACGAGCAAAGTATGCATAAAATACTATCATGTACAAAAATAGCCGTAGTAGTTCGGAAGCTAAGAGCTTGTTGTAAATATCGCAATACGCGAGCAGCATAGGCTTGATCGCGCCGTTACCTTTACAGTTACTGGAGTCTACTGGAGTTCACTGCTGCACATGGCCTCGCCCGTAGACTGCCTTATAAGAGGGATATTTGCCATAGTGCCACGTTTGCCTAGCGGTTTGACTACCGAAGTTTTTATTTTCAGTCGTTATTAAGAAGTGTAGCGTAAGCGATCTAAATGAAACGACTGTACTGTCAGAGAACTGGTTTATTACTGACTCAATGTTTAGAAGTACTGTGCGCATACACACCAGGAAGACACTGCTGCCCATCTCCTTATTCGTTTCCCTTTTTCGCCTCTTACTACACCCACGGGATGATATAGGGTAGTGGATATCCTTAAACTGCCACTACTTATTAATTTATTAATTAAAAATGGGCTGACTATTGACTATTTCTGATTAATATAAAAAAGAAATTTTTTGTTTAATTCAATAATGCGTACTGTAACATTACATCATTAACTTCCACAAACCAAACTAGAAGGCGCTATGCGTAGATAAATCACGCTAATAGGATGTACCACGGTTTGCTATAAAGGGTCCGAAACCTGCTTTTGTTTATGTAGCTTCAGTAGGGATTCCTAGGCCGCAAAATAGCTGCTTTTGAAACCTAATGTTGTAAGCTGTCTGTAGGAGCGAAGCACAGTTAATTAGGCATGGGTCGTAACGTCATTTGCACGTAATCGGTTATGTTTCGTGGATATGAGTAACTAGGTTCAAAACTGCTTACTTTTGTAACTAGTTACGTCTGTATACAGTATAGCAATATAGGTATCTTAATATTAGTTTTACTTTTGTGTTATGTTATGATTACGAATATATAACAGTTTATAGGTATTATAATATGCGCGCGACATTGTAAATATTAGTACTTTGTACAATTTCACAGTCACAAAATATGTAAGTACCTAAGTATTATAATTGTCCATCACATCACATAATTTTTATTATCCACATAATCCACAAAATCAACCTAACGTATACATCAAATTATTAATTATTTATTTACACTATAGTTGCCTACACGAGTCGTGAGCACATATAAACTGTGGTGGGAGGTAGGTACACTGTCGGGCAAAATTACTAGGTACTTTTATTATTTCAATTCGTAATTGAATATTTTCGTCGACTTTTATGAAAATGTTTACTCGAACTCATCAACTTTTACCTTGATACAGTAATGTTACAGATATTCGTGTCCGTTATTTTATTATCTACTATAAAGTATTTAATGTATACCTTGTGTTTAGAATTGATTATTTTATTAAGAAGAAGGAAGAGGTGATACGCCTTCCATAAAATCCGGTGTTTCGGTGCGCCGTACAGTAGCTATTGAGACATTAGTCGCCTCAGTTTTTCGCAGTACCTAATTTTTTCATGTAACTAAACACTGAACAAACAATTTGTCGGGATTGTCTATTTAACACCGAATTCTTCCTTCTCTGCATATTTAGACCAAAATCTGAACACTCAAATTATAACAACAAAAATAATTAAAAACAAGAAATAACAAAAACAATTAATAACAAGGAATACACAAACAACAATTAACAACGAAGTAACAAAAACAATTAACGAAAATAAATGAATTAATAAAGTTACCACTAAAATTATTGCTCTGAAGTGTACGGAAGCCGAATGATACGTTCGAAACCAATAGGCGACGAGAATCGACTGATGAAAGATGAACCAATCACGTTGAACGTCAGCGTGGTCAACGTCGTGTCGACCAATAAAAAGTGTGCTCACGACTTATGTCGGCAATCATACTTATATGTCTATTTATGTACACTAAATGTTGATTTACACTATAAATGTTTATTCATAAAGAAAACAATGCAAAATGTTTTTAAGAACACAGTTCACAGACTCGAGACAATAAAATACGTCAATCATCCCTTGCACTTGTTAATTGCCTAAAATTTTATTAGGAAATAGAAACACGTTTAACTGGTCAAAGTCACAATTTATTAAAAAAAAGATTATCATAATGAACTTTAAGTATTTATTGCATATAATGCTAAGGTGTTAATTGAAAGAGTTATGAAAGAAACTGATGGAAAAATTTGGGATGTGCAAGCGGGTTTTAGAAAGGGAATGGGGTGTACAGATCAAGTCTTTTCCATGCGCATGATTGCGGAGAAGTTTTTGGCCAAAAACCAGAAAGTTTTTTGTGCGTTCATGGACTTGGAAAAGGCTTATGACAGAGTGGACAGGAATGTGTTATGGCAAACACTGAACTCATATGGGTTGAGCGCTGGTTTGATACAGGCATTAAGGTCTCTTTATAGGGACTCTAGTGCTTGTGTCAGGATCAATGGGGTCTACTCGGACTGGTTTGGCATCCAAAAAGGTGTCAGACAGGGCTGTGTGGCTTCCCCTTGGCTGTTCAACCTATTTCTGGACCGGTGTTTGCAAACTTTGAAAGGTGAAGAATGTGGGTTAAGAATGGGCGAGTTAACCGTCAAATGCCTTTTGTATGCCGATGATCAAGTCATACTTGCGTCATCGGCGGCAGAGTTGCAAATGATGGTTACATTAATGAACTGGGAATTAAAAGAAAGGGGAATGAAATTGAACGCAAGTAAGACGAAAGTGATGGTTTTTGAAAGAGAAGAAAGCAAAACGGTATGTGAAATAAGAATAGAAGGAGAGTTGATTGAGCAAGTGGATGAGTTTGTGTATTTGGGATGTGTATTTAGCAGGGATGGTAGATATTATAGGGATATAGAACGACGAGTAAATGCAGGGAATAGAGTGAATGGGGCATTACACTCTATTATGAAGAACCAGAATTTGTCAAAACAGGCACATATGGTAATTCATAATGCTGTGTTAGTCCCTACTTTAATGTATGGTAGTGAAAGCTGGGTGTGGCAGAAGAAGCACGAAAGTAGAATAAATGCTGTAGAAATGCGGTCTTTAAGGAATATGCTGGGGTGTAATCCGAATGACAGGGTGAGAAATTGCGTGATAAGAGATAAATGTGGTATGCAAGATGATGTTGTGACCAGGATTAAGAAAGGAATGCTTCGGTGGTTTGGTCACGTAGAAAGAATGAATGAGGAAAGAGTGACAAAGCAAATTTATATGGCAGATGTGAATGGCCGAGTCGGGAAGGGACGCCCTAGGAAAAAGTTTATCGACCAAATTGGCGATATTTTGAAAATGGGCCACGTTAGAAGTACCCTTAACCGACGAGCATGTATGCGTAGATATATGGATGTAAAGGAGGCGAAAGAGGTATGTCAGGATCGTGCCAAATGGAAGTCCGTAGTCTTTGCCTACCCCTCTGGGTGACAGGCGTGAGTGTTTATGATTATGATGCATATAAATTCGCATGGGCATTTGCATTTAAAAAAACGCACAGATTACTATATTGCCGTCTCTTTTTATCTTGCGTGTAAGCCATACCTATCCCAAAGGAGCTCTTTACTCTCGTTGTGCGAGTCGTATATCGTATTACGTAGCTATAATCATCTTAATATAATAATCTGTTCAAAACGAAACGCTTATGCTTGCGCCGGTTCTAGTGTGTGTCAACTGCGTACGTAAAATAATCGTAACATTTTTGTCCACGAAACTGGGTATACGATTATCAGGCGCGTAAGCAGTTTATGAAACCGATTACGTTAAATAACGCTCACCTCTGCAGGAAATATTATTGTAAAGTGTAACGTGTTGTTCATTAAAAGCTAGTTTTCGTATCCCGGGCTGCCCTCTCGCCTCCCATCCATACTGTGTATAGAAAAAGACCCATATAGATAGATATTTAAACGGTGATTCTCACCACCATCCTTCACAGTTAGCTACCGTGGGTAAATATTTGTTTCAGAGACCACGAGTGATTTGTGACAGTAGGCACTTGGCTGCCGAGCTCCACCACATCAAGAAAGTTTTGCATAACAACAAGCTTCGGGTCCCGCGCCTTCGTCACAGTGAACGAGTGAAGCTGGCCACAGTCGAGCGTGTGCCTGCTGTACTACCATATGTTAGAAAGAATCAATCAATAGAGAAGATGGCTGGGTGCTACCATCTGCTTGGGATCCTATAATAAATAAAATTAAATCCCAACCCAAGCATACAACTGCAAGACTTCAAGATACCATAAGTTCATACTGCGTAGATCGGAACAAAAGTTAAATTTTAATCTATGGTATCCGCTGTTAACTATGACATTTGGACGTTGAACATCTCAGTCCTCCCCGTGACCATGGGTGCTGTAATGCGCTCGAAACGTCGGGTATTTATAGTTAAATATGCGCGATAAAATCCGTAAAAACTAGTATTATTTCAATTTGTGTGTAGTAAGTAAGCGCCTTCTTTTCTCACAACTCCCAGACTCCGCACACCCTGAAGCTGCAACTAGATATTGTTCTGCTTGATTATGGTTTGATTATGCTTACATGTAGAGGTAAGATACCACGCTCGAATATTAAGAATTTTGGGGACTTACTAAAAAATGCTCTTACTGTCGAACATCTACTGAATGAAAAAGAAGTATTTGAATCAACTATTAACCAAACAAGTATATCCACGCATAAAAAAAAGAAATGCAAGTTCTGCAAAAATAT